TGGGGGACTCCATTGGAGGAGTCATGCTCTAGCTGCCGTAGGCTGCTGTGCAATGAGCTGGGATTTATTCAGGGACGCATTCATGCACAGCCCCAGTGTGGCTTGTAAGCCGTAGCTTACTATCATACCAAAAATTACTCCGGGAGTGGAGTGGGAGCGATGCTTAAAGCACCGTGTGATAGCCAAGCTGATTGAGCGTTGACCATGTATTAACTGGGGGACTCCATTGGAGGAGTCATGCTCTAGCTGCCGTAGGCTGCTGTGCAATGAGCTGATATTTATTCAGGGATGCATTGATGCAGAGCCCCAGTGTGGTTTGTAAGCCGTAGCTTACTACCATACCAAAAATTACTCCGGGAGTGGAGCGGTAGCGATGCTTAAAGCACCGTGTGATAGCCAAGCTGGTTGAGCGTTGACCATAGCTGAAAATGCCAGCGACTTATCACTTCACTAAGTTCAGCGAAGAGATATTTGAGAATTGCATAAAAAATGCATACACAATTAAGAACGAGCGAATTACTTTTAAAGACAAGTGCGTGTGTTTGTTCGCTGCACTTGGTTTTGGGCGGGAATGCAATATAAATGTGTGTGGGTGTTCGCTGTTCTATGTTTATGCGGGAAATGCATAAGTCGCTTAAACACAAGTGATTAATAAAAAAATCGACTCCCGCACCACCTAAGGCCTAAATTTTTGTGGAGTTATTTCCTTCAATTTAAGTAATATACGTTCTAAATATGAAACAAGTCCGAATGTAAATAGGGGTTTTCCAAATATCTCGACTCTTTCGCCACCTATCGGGTAAATTTGTGAAGTAATTCCTCTTCATGTAGGTAATATTCATTCCAAATGTGAACAATATCGGCCCATAAATACGGGGTTTTCAAATATTTCGACATCCGCGCCACCCAACAGATTAATTCATCTTTCACATTACATTAACATCGGTTTCTCAGCCAAGTTTAAAGTTTCAAGTCTCTAGATCATCGAAAAGTTAGTTAAAAGTTTATTGACAGATTTCATTACACACAGATAAAACGTAATGAAAGCTTGTAAAAATTAAAATTTTTTATTCCAGTTGAAGTATGAAAAAATGGGTGCAGTTCCCATAGGCAATAAAACAAATTAATTTTTCATTTTTGGTTGTTGTTTGTTCTAAAATACAACAAATTACTTTTTTCACATTACGTTGGGAAAAAAGGACATATTGATTTATTTTTATGGAAAAAGTTAAACAAAGCCATAATGCACTTTGGTTTACCCTCTTTGTTAATGATGTGTTTTCTATGTCTCGTCATGTGAAATGGGGTGCAATAAAACCATACCATTTGTTTTTGAAATAAAAGCATATGTTTGTCGTTATTTCCAAAGCATAAGTGAAATAAAGTCACATTCCAATTATAGCACTGACAATCTAGCAATTGAGGCCTCGACTAGTCTGCGCTAGATGAAACTTATACCAAAATGAACAGAAAATTACCCGAAACAACATATTAAAAAGTAGGAGGTCAACATGTATCGCTAATATTGTAGATTAATGAAAAACTGATGAAATTCGAGGCTCTTCGTCTTATTTGGCGCTGTGATCGCCTGAGAAATTTTGGCCGAGTTTGTCTTCTGTCCCAACTGAAGCCAATCGGAAATTCCAAGTGAAGCCAAGTCCTTCTCTATCTGGACTTTCATCGCAATGGGGGTCTCCCTCTTCCTCTGCTACCACCAGTGGGTTCCGAGTTGAATACTTTCAGAGCTGGAGCGTCGGTGTCCATTTAAACGACATGGTCAAGCCAGCGGAGCCGCTGTATTTTAATTCGCTGCACCATGTCCATGTCTATGTAGAGCTCATACTGGTCATCGTTCCATCGTCTGCGTCACTTGCCATCGTCAATACGTAAAGGCCCGTGAATCTTCCGCAAAATTTTTCTTTGTTCTCCAAGATCCGCCTCATCGGATGTTGTCATTGTCCATTCTTCTGCGCCATATACCAGCACGGGCATGATGAGAGACTTATAGAGTGTGGTTTTCGTACGTCGAGAGATCACTTTACTCCTGAATTGCCTACTCAGTCCAAAGTAGCACCTGTTGGCAAGAGTGATTCTGCGTTGAATTTCCATGCTGACATTATTATCGGTGTTAATGCTGGTTCCCAAGTAAACGAAATTCTATACTTTCTCGAAATTATAACTGTCAGCAGTGACGTGGGTGCCAAGGCGCGAATGTGCTGACTGTTTGTTTTATGGAGGAGATACTTCGCCTTGTCCTCGTTAACCACCAGACCCATTCTCTTTGCTTCCTAATCCAATATGGAAAAGGCAGAAGGCACTTTTGTTACAGATGATGTCGATGTCAGCGGCATAAGCCAGCAATTGCACGCTCTTGTAGTAAACTGTTCCTGAGCGGTTCAGTTCTGCAGCTCTTCGTGTCCTCTTCAACACCAGATTAAAAAAGTCACATTAAATGTCTAAAACCCCGTTTGGTGTCGAACGGCTTGGAGAGGTCTTTTCCAACTTTGACGGAGCTGGTGGTATTGCTCAACTTCGTTTTTCAATATTTATTTTATAATGTTTTTTTCTGTTCGTAGGAGAGGGAAATGCTTTATGCACTGGCCGGGAGCGCTAGTCTCTATACTACCTTCCCCGAGTGTGGGACTCCAACCGAAGCGTGTGGGGCTACCCACTAAAACCCAAACTCCTACCGCCCGCGCACGAATCCCTCATCTCGCACCGCAATTCGGCATATCTTCAGATGCAGGAGCGCGCTACTTGAGCCTCAAGGCTGCTCTTTTGTAGGGGCGTTTCATTCGGGCGTCCTCAGTAGACATCCGTCTTCTCATTTGCAGCGGAGTACGAATTTCACGTATCTCGCAACTGCTTCCCACTTGTCTACACTGGAGCTCATTACCCCAATTACGCTGTTCGGGGTTATGTCTCCGTATCTTTCTTCCAACATCCTGCGTGAAGACAAGAAGTGCTAGCAAGTGAAGGATGTAAGGTGTACATTATCTTGGACGTTTCTACAGTAGTGACAGAACGGTGAGTCTACTCTTCCCATTCTATGAAGATATTCTCGGAAGTAACCATGACCGGTGAAGAATTGCGCCAGGTAGAAATCTAATTCACCGTGCGGCCTTTTCAACCATGTTTGAAAGTCGGCTATTAGGGTGTGCGTCCATCGACCTTTTGTGCTCGCGTTCCAGTTTTGTTGCCATTTCTGGATTAGTTGCTCGCGTGCCCTTGCTGCGGCAGCTGCTCGGCCTATCTCGTCACTGAGATTGTAAATCTCTTTTCGCTCGTAAGCATGTAGCTCAATTGGCATGACGCCAGAAATAACTAGAACCGCGTCCGCGGACACTGTACCGTATGCAGAAGCAATGCGTAGTGCCCCTCTGCGCTAGACCGAACACATTTGAATCCGGTGTTTTTTGACTTTCAATGCGTCGACCCATATTTCTGCCACGTACAGGAGCACCGACTGGACCGCTGTCATCAGAAGCTTCCTGCGGCATGGCTTCGGGCCGCCCACGTTCGCCATCAGCCGGCTTAGAGCCACCGTGCTCTGCGCAGCTTTTTGACATACACCTTGAATGTGTTCCCAGAATGTGAGTTTGTTGTCAAGCTTCACCCCTAGGTATTTTTTAGACTTCAAAGTTGTCACGGGCTAAGGTCCGACCATCATGTTTGTAATTGTTGGGATTCGTTTCTTGGTGAGGAGCACGGTCTCTGTTTTGGCTGTAGCCAATTGCAGACCGTGATCGCTCATCCATGCACTGACGCTGTGCATTACCTGGTTCAGCTTGAGCTGCGCTAGCTGGATGTTTCTTGCTCTTATGACGGCGGCCACGTCTTCCGCGAAAGCGACAAAGAAGACGCTCTCCGGAATTTCCGTGCCCAACATACTATCATACGTGGTGTTCCACAGGTCCGGGCCAAGTACAGACCCCTGTGCCGCTCCACCGCTTGTAGCGTATGCGGAATGATATGCGGACAATTTCTAAGCACATTTAAAAAAATTCTCGTAAACACAGAAGCCGAACTAAATGTACCAAAATCTACTGTGCAATCTTAGCAAGCATTCCACTAAAAATTACCTCGTTGTATATTATAATACTGAAATAATTTCCTTGGAAGCGGACGAACTCTGAGAATTTGCTTGTAAGTTTTGTATACCGAAACTCAATGTCACGAAAAGTAACGTGCTTTTTCGTTTTTTCTCTATGAGACTTAAAAAAAACTTTATTTACAAAGAGAGAATAGGAAAACACTATAAGGAAAACGAGTGCGAAAAAACATGTTTCACAAAGCAGCGAAATCAGATCGTGACAAGTGTCATAAATTGTTTGATCTCTCTGCAAAATCGCAGCGAATAATGACAACAAAGTGCAAAATAAGCACAAAAACATTGAAGACTATGCAAGAGCCAGGGATATAGTGGAATATGTACAAACCGCTCTACCCAAGATTGTTTAAACGTTGAAAAGGAAAATTGAAAGCGGCAATTAGCGCTTTCCCAAAAAATTTGCTTGCACCACATTCACTTCAGTTTTGTACAGCGGATTAGGGAAATATTTTTCATTGGGACCCATAAAAGGACACCTAAATATAACTCTGAACCAATTATCGTCTAAATTGCTAAAAAATAACAACTCAAGTTGGTACAATAAGGTCCCAAAGTAATATTTTTGAAAAGGCCAATCGTTAAGGACTTTCTATAAAAAATGTTTCTTAGAAATTTCGACAATATCTATGTGAGTGGGAAAACAATATTTGTTGCTTCCGAAAGTATAACTGTTTCTTTTTACTGAATCAGTTCGAATTTCATTCCGCATAGGTTACGTCTTTTTATCTGGCCTTGTGTTGTGTCGTATAAAAGCCAACGGTCTCTGAGGTAGTCCCGAGTCATATCTAGCAAGTATGTTGGAACCCTGAATGACCGTTCTAAGGCCTCCAGCATGTCGTCCCATCTTGCCGAGTTGAAGGCGTTCTTGACGTCCAGTGTGACTAGCAGCACTATTGGCCGCGCCTGGTGGCAGGCTTCTTCGACCTTGTGTACCGCCTTGACTACTTCGCCAATTGCTCCCATAGTTGAGTGTCCCTTCCTGAAGCCATGTTGTCGGGGTGAAAGGCCTCCCTCGCTTTCTATGGGTGACGTCAAGCGTATTTTGAGCAGACTCTTCATCATTTTGCCTGCTGTGTCTAGCATACAGAGTGGCCGGAAGGATGAAGGAGAGTTGGGGTCATTGAGTATATGTACCAGTCTCGCCTTCTTCCATTGGTTTGGGAAGATCCGGGCCCTAAGGCAGCTATTGTGCATATTAAGCAAAAGGTCAGGGCTCATTTTCGCTACTAAACTTATTGCCACCGAGGCCCGGAGGCTTGCCGGTTTTCATGCTTCGTGGGGGTTTGTTTGGGGCATACCCCATTCCACGCCTCTTGCGTTGAAATCTCCGGCAAAAATTATGGTGCCGATTATATCGCGTAATTCGTCTTCAAGGCCTTCGAGCTGTTCTCCTGAAGACAAGGACTGTGTCGTTTGGAGACAGCTAGCAGCTCACCAGATTGATTTGTCCCATTTTCACCCAAACGTAGCATCGCTCGACCCCGCTGCTCTCTGCGCGATGGTTGGAATTAGCGAACCATATCGCGGCCGAGCCTGATTGGTCAACATGCCACGTTTCCTTTGTTCTATAGGGTTCACCGATGATGACAGCGTCTGCTCTTTGTTCAAGAACCAATTGGTCCAGCAGGTCATCAGCTACCCTACTCCTGTTCATATTGCCTCGTATAAATTGAATCATATTCTCCCAAGCTTTGTCTTAGCCTCAGTAAGGGCATCCTTGAAGGCCTTTCACGCTCCCAATAGGTGATTGGCATTTTTCTGTCAATCTCCTAGAGAGCACAAGTAGCAGCTTGGGCTTTCTTTAAATGCAGAGGCTATGTGGCCCTGCTGACCACATTTCCAACATGAACTGCTTCTGTCTGGGCCTTTGTATGCTGCCTTTTTGTGGCCATAACCCAGACAACGGAAACACCTTTGGACATCCGCGTGCTGTCGGACACGGCAGATAATCCACCCTACTCGCCGCTTCCCCTTTTCAACAAGAGTCCGGCCTGGCAGTTCGTCGATTTCCACCACGCCCATTCTTTGTTCTCGCTAGTTTACAGCGAGGAGAGAGACGCGAAGTTGGCCATTCATCTTGTCTCCTAATTTCCCGCGTATAGCGTTCTCCACTTCTGGGCCCGTGGTTAAGCAGTCCATGCCCAGAACTTCTAGACGTAAACGTCTAGTGAGAATACGGGCGTCTCCAAGCTGGCCAATGGCAGTGCACACATTTTCCTTAAATGCTGAGTGGTTGCCACAGTGCTCCTTTTCTATGAGCACGCCGCCTTCGCGGGTTTTCCGAACAGATTGAAAAACGGTCTCCGTCTTCTCAGGTTGGAGCTTACCACGTATGGTTCCCAGCACCTCTGCATAGGTTTTACCTTCAGCTGGCTTAATGATTAGTTTGGCGAGACTCTTCTTTTTTCTCACCCTCTTCTTATTTTGCGGCTGGTCGCCTCGCCCTTATTGACCAAGGGTTCACTTGGCGCTGGCCCTGGCTTGGGCTTTCTGCTTTTTCCAACCGTTTTCCATTGATTATCTGGTACGGTTTTCAGAGCATTGTTATTATTATTACCATTATTGTTATTAGGATTATTAATAATAATATTTTTACTACTATTATTATTTTTATTAGTAGTAATTTTTTTCTTTTCCGGCTCGCCTGTAGGGGAGTCGGACCGAGTTTAAGCTCTCTTTTGCGAGCCAGGGCAGGATTTCTGCAGCTCGGAAAGGGTAGACCCCTTCCGGTGCTGCTCTCGGAGGTAGCTTAGTATATTTAGGCTCTCCTCGATTTGGGCCATACCCGTTTTTATGTCCATGGACACATTTATCTGCTTGGAGACAGCACTCTGCATCGTCTTCAAGACGAGCCGAATCTGGGCCAATTGCTCATCTTCATTGCCTTCGCAAGTTCCCAAGCTTGCGGTTCCCAAGCTTGCGTTGACGGCTTTCTCCCTGCTCGTGGTGCAGGCTTTTGTCTGCAGAGGAGTTTGTGGCGGGGAGCGCATAACTCTACAGCTCTTTCTAAATGCGCTGCATTCTTCCTCGGGAACATCTACATCTATTACATTTGTTTTTGTTGTTTGTTTAATCATTTCAGTTCTATTGGGTCTCCGCTTCAAGCCGCTATCTCCACACGTAGCACAGTCGCTTTAAGTGTCCCGAAGTTTCCTTCTCTCAAAGGAGCAGGCCATCGCGAGGGTTGACACAAGTCCTTATGGGATATTGTGTGCAGAGCCAAGACAACGCAAAACTAGGAGTAAATCTCAACTAGGAGTAAATCTCAACTAGGAGTAAATCTCAACTGGACCTGTGCGGCCAACTAAATGGCGACGTGTATTGAACGTACTTGAAGACCTGCCAGGGTTTTAACGAGACGGAGGCGATGGCAGCATTAGCCCACCAGCCTTTTCTGTGAGGTGTCACCCTCACGTATTAAAGTGGTGGAATACTGCTCTCGCCAGCCCAATGTCGAATTATTATTATTATTATTATTATTATTAATATTATTATTATTATTATTATTATTATTAGTATTAGTATTAGTATTATTATATTTTTTTTCTTAGCTCTGCAATTCGGTCATTCTACCAGTACACCTGAGAAGTCCAGCAAGCAGAGAAGTGTCAAGTTGCCGTTGTCAAAATTAATTCTAATGTAATGCAGTATTTTGATCTGAAACCAGATTGCAGTGGAGAGAGTAGACTATTTTCTTGCACAAATGCTGAAATTTGCGCAGCCGTTAAGTATAATAGGTCTATAGTCACTAGCATATATAGCATTCGTCTTCTTCACAACTGGTATAATTATAGCCTTTTTCCAAACTGCTGGAAAGCATGAGCTAATAAAACAACGATTTATTATGTTAGTTAGGGGCATATCATATATTCAATTACTATTTGGACGAATTTCAGCGAAATCTTATCCTCCCCTATAGCATTAGACTTAATTTTTGACAGAGTCTTCATGACATCAACCTCATTCACTGCCATAAATTGAAACTCATGTTTTGGACTAGCACAAGATATGAAAGGTTTTAGCGCGTTGGCACGATTGGATTTGTTATTAGCGTCAATAAAATAGTCCTTAAGATCATCAACATCAATCTCACCCTCGGGTATTTCTTTGCCATGTATTTTAAACTGCTTTAGATTGCGCCACAGCTGCTTGGACGGAAGTAAAGGATCAAGTTTTGAGTAACTGTACCAACGCTTAGCTTGCCTTCTTATAGAAGTAGTTTCATTTCGGATTTTCTTGTTCCGATTCCAAGAAGTATCCGTAAAATATTTTCTCCACTTGGCATAAAACTTATTGCGTTTCCTGATGGCAGAACGAACTATCGAATTGTACCAGGGACACGAACTATTTACAACATTTACAGAACACAGTGGGACATGCACATTCAATAACATGGAAAAGTTATTGTTGAGGAAATCAAGTTTATCATCAACAGTTGGAAGAAACCAACATTCATCCCAATTTATGTTAATCAAGTCTGAATACAAAGAATTTACATTTACCGATTAAATATCACGATACACAAAGGTAGCACCTACACCTGGACGATTCATCACAACATATAGAGTACAAAAAATTAAATCATAGTCGGAAATAAAATTTACTTCGTCAAATTTAAGAAAATATAAAATGCCACAGATTATAAAATAATCAAGAAGACTAGCTGTGGAGTTATTAGCATACCTCGTTGGTGTAATTCGATCAACAACACAGAGCCCTGCTGGTGCCAACTGGCCCTGTAACTTACTACTACTTGAATCAATAAATAATAGATTTATATTTAAATCACCACAAATCAGAATACGCTCTTAATCTAACATAAATTCAGACAGGTCAACAAATAATACATCTAGAGCGATGCCTTTATTAGGATTATAAACACATGCAATTAAGATTTTTTTCACGCCATCAGATACTTCAGTGAAGATGTATTCAGTTTCACAGTGATTTGATTTTGCCAGAAATTTAAATTCCAGGCTTTTTTTTAATGTTTTTATTGAACTTTGTGCCACGATTATTTTTTTAGGAACAATAGTTTTTCATTAAAAACGGCCTCAAGCTCAATAAAATTTGTTGAATATAACTGTTATAAGGCCATAAAATAACAAAAAAAAACAACGAATAACTTAAGGACGAGCACACCTAAAAGTTAAACATTCTAAAAACAGAATTATTAACAAAAACCAACAACCACATGATCAAGTTTGCACTGGATTAGCTACGCTTTAGTGTAGTTGGCTCACATGAAAAAAGTTGAAAAAGCTACAACAGTTTATAAGGCGAACTTAGGACAGTGCGTAGACAACTGGCTGAGTCAGCTGGGGTCGTTGGTTTGAATCCGGCTAAAGAAGTCTGATGAGGAAATGTGGTGATTTCCGAAAGGGCTATCACTTCTACCATTTTTTCAAATTGTTGATTTTCCACAATAGTTTTTAATTAAAAACGGCGTCGAGCTCAATAAAAAAAATTGTTGGAGAAAAATGAAAAAAGCAACAAGTCACCACATCTCCTCATCAGACTTCTTTTTTCTAGACTTTCAGCCGAGATCGAACCCGCGTCATCGATGTGCAAAGTCAGAAGCGTTAACCACTGAGTCATGCACACCCCGTAAACTCGTGTTACTAATTCATTTTCCTTATTCAACCTACTGCTATCAAGTGCAGCTGATTTTCCGCTATTTAAACTTTACAGGTTGTTTTACAGTACACTGCAACCCAAACTGCATTGCAAGGGGCATTGACTCACGGTTGTTTTTAGTGAGGCTCTCATGTATGTGTAACATCCCATCTGATTTGAGTCAAACATCAGTGAGTAATAGTGGCCGTTTTTTTACTTTACAAAAGCGAGCCACTGACTTAAAGAGTCTGGAACGATCAACAGAACATGCTAACTTGGCAATTACTGGAGCAGCAGAATTGTTTTGAATACGAACTCGAAAGGTGCCGCGAGCTTGGAGCGCAGATATATCCAAAGCTTGTCACAGGCTGTCAAAGGTGTTTTCAATATTCTCACCACCCATGTATGACAGACTGTTGATGATGAGATCGGTGGAGACGGCTTGGTTTTGGCACTCATTAAGCTCAGCCTTAAGCAGCTGCACACTGCCCAATTTGGACTTCTGCTTTCCCCACTCGCTCTTCCAATTTTCTCATCGCCCTCCTCAGATTCGCCAGCTCAGCCGCTATCTTGCCAAACTAGTTCATCATTCGCTCTTCAGAAGTTTTAACTCGTTCCGTGATTTCGCCAACAACACTACTTCTCTGCAATTCGAGTTGTTCTTCAACACGTTCAAGCCAGGAAGCAGGTGGCGAGCTCTCTTTTTTCTCAGTTTTACCAAGACTGCTCAAACTGCTATGCGAAGTAGATACCGTTTGGCGTGTGCTTTTACCTCTTCTTGACATTTTATTTTATTTCCAATTAAATTAGAATTTTGATTGAATTCTACGCACACACAAAATAATGGGGTCAAATTTATTTACTCGGCAACGGATGTAAAGAGAGGTAGATCAGAC